CATGGGGCACCGAGTGTCTTGTCACAGGGCTCAGCGTGTCCCCCCCATACAGCACTCAGCCCCCCCGCAAAGAATACCCCCCCTGGGCTATTTCCGTTGCACCTCCCTCTCCTTTCCTCGCCATTCCCCTCCTCCCCCCCCCATCTCCGTCCCCGCTCGGGTTTCGGGGCTTTAGTCTCTATTTTTAGGGATGACGAGGCCCCGTCCCACGGGGCCAGTGTCACACCACCCCCCCAGCTCGCCCACGGCTGGGAATGGGCTCCAGCGGAGGTTGGTGGGGGCCGCGGTGGGCCCCCCCCGTGCCACACAGGGATGGTGGCACTGAGAGATGGAACTTTAAAAATCCCCCGGTGCTCATGGGGCTGTTGTGGGGGCCCCGGGGGGGCCGTGACGTCCCTGTCCTCACTGGCTGGGGGGCACCCAGGGATCTCTTTAAGGGGCTGACCACTCACTAGGAGAGGGGGCGTCTCATCTGCCTCTCGAGCGAGGGTGGGGATGTCAGGGTGCAAGTCAGGGGAGTCCCTGTGCCAACTGTGGGGTCCACCAGGCACCCCCCCATCCCATCCCTTATCATCTGTGCCCCCCACCGCCCAGTGTCCCCCATCACTGCGACCCCCGCCCCTTATCACTCACCCCTGCCCCCCTGTGCTCCTCTGGGCACCCGTGGGTGCTCCACGGCCGGGGCTGGTGGTGTCGGGGTTCGGGCAGTGCCGCGTCCCCGGCACCGTGTGACCTGTTTGGGGGGCGCAGAGGGTTCCACCTGCCCCATCCCCCATGGGGTGCTGCGCCCCATAGCGTGTCCGTGCCCCATGGGGTGCCGTGTCCGTGGGTGCCGTGCCCTGTGGTCTGGCGCGCGTCGGGGCGGTGTCCGGCGGTTCCTTTAAAGGGCTGGGCGGGGGCATGTCCCGTCCCCTGTCCCGTCCCTTGTCCCGTCCCGTGCCCGTGCCCAGCCGCGGGGTGCGGGGCCGCCGAGCCGCCGGACACGCCGGACACGCCGGGCACGCCGGACCCCGGCCCCGGCCCCCTGCCCTCGCCCCCCGCCGCCGCCCCCGCCGCCATGGCCGCCGCCGGCCCCCCGCCCGCTCCCGAAGAGCAGGACTTCATCCAGGCCTACGAGGACGTGCGGGAGCGCTACAAGGGTACGGGACCCCCGCCCCACCGCGGGCCGGCCGGGGGGCGCCGTGGGGCGCCGGGCGCGGGGGGGCCGCGGGGAGCGCGGCCGCTCATTCCCATAATTGGGCACGACGGGCGCCGCCAGCCCCGGCGCGGCCGGGGGGGCGGGGGGGGACCGGGGGACACGGAGCGGCACCTCGGACCCCGAGGGGAGCCCCCCCGGCCGCTGCCCCCACCGGGGACTCGGTGCCCGCGGACGGGCAGGGCACTGTGCCCGCCGCCCCCCGCGGCGGCCGGCGGGGTCAGTGGCGGCGTGGTGGGGCGGGGGGTCCCGGTGGGAGGGCTGGGGAAAGGGGGTGTTGCCTGGGGGCTGGGGGCGGCGGAGAGTGGGCACGGGCGGTGGGGGGCCGGCGGCCGTGGGCAGCGGAGCTCCAGTCCTCGGCAGTGGCATTGGTGGCAGTGGTGGTATCGGTGGCATCTCGGGGTACAAGGCCCACGCCGGGTGGTGGGTCAGACCCCAGCGCTGTCCGCAGTACCCCCCATGCCTGTGTGTGGCCGAGGGGGCTCCGGTGCCCCGGCGTGGGGCCGGCAGTGCCCGCAGCCATGCCCTTACATGGGAGCGGATGCTGCCTGCGGGGGGGGCAGCCCCCCCGGCCCGGCGCCGGGGGGTCGCAGCTGATCCCGCCGCAGGGTCCTTGGGATGAGGCGTTATGGCTGCTCCCGCCAGGGCAGGACACCAGTTCTGGGGTGGTGGGAGTGCGTGCCCTCAGCCTGCGGCCCATTTGGTGCCACCACCAACTGTGCTACGGCTCAGGTGTCCCCTGGGAGGGACCCCAGTGCACCCAGTGCTGTTGGGAGGAGCTCAGCATGTCTGGCCCTGGCAGGTCCCACCACGGTCTGAGTGCCGCTGGCAGGGATGGCACAGAGTTCAGGAGCTGATATCCCTCAGCGGTGCCAGGGCACCATGGGACTGGTCAGTGTGGTTTGGCTGGTGGTCCTGGGCAAATGGCAGGGGTTCGGTGTCACTATGTGGTCCCACCTTGCTGGGTGCTGGCGGGTTTGTTGTCACCATGTGATCCCACTTTTCTGAGTGCTGCTGGGTTTGGTGGGTTCTGGAATGAGAGTTTGGTGTCAACATGATCCCACCTCACCAGGTGCTGGAAGGTTCAGTGTCACCATGTGGTCCCACCTCACTGTGTGCCAGAGGGTTTGGTGTCATGGGCCCCCAGGAAGGTGTTTGATGTCACTAGGTAGTTGCACCTTGCCAGGTGCTGGCAGGTTTGGGATCACCATGTGATCCCACCTTGCTGGCTGCTGGCGGGTTTGGTGCTGTGGGACATGTGGTGGGTTTAGTGTCACCATGCAGTCACCCCTCACTGGATGCCAGGGGGTTTGGTCCCACCTCGCTGGGTGCTGGTGGGTGTGATGCCGTGGGTCCTGGAGCAAGGGTTGATGTCATTGTGTGGTTGGTCACCCCTTGCCAGGTGTTGGCATGTTTGGAGCCATGACCCATGGGGTGGGTGGGTGTGCCATCACGGCTGGACAGCAGTTGGCCTGGAGGGGACAATGAGGTTAGGGCTGAGCTGTGGCAGCTGGGAAGTGTCAGCTGGCCTTGGGCTCTGCCACACGCAGTGACAGTGATGGTGGGTGCAGAACCTGTTGGGGGTGGTGATACCTGCCAGTGCTGCTGGCACGTGCCATCCCTGAGGCTCAGAGCCCAGTGGGACCTGGCACCTTCTCTGCCAGGGACTGTGCTGGGGGGCACAGGCTGGTGCTTGCCACCATCTGTAGGCCTGGGGCTGGTGGAGCTGGTGGTGGCCCTGGCACAGGACCTGGTGCTGGTGTTCTGGGGGTACCGGGATTCCCAGGTGAGGTGGGTGTTGGGGTGTTTGCCGGATGCCTCGTGGCTTCTCTATTAGAGCCGTTATTGTAGCACAGTGCCCAGTGGGCACTGAAACCAGGCTGGGGGACACTGTCACCCCTGGCACCACCACAACTGTCACCATCACCACGGCAGCTGGGGCTGTTCCCCAGGGCTCAGCACAGTGCTCATCCACACAGGCTGTTCCCTGTCAGAGGGCAGCTGGACCCCCAGGACCACCCAACCCTTCACCGGAGTGGCTCTGTGGTGGCCATGCCGGGGTCCCTCCCAGTGTCCCTGGAGCTGGCTGGTGGTCACGGTGGCCACAGTACAGTGGCTGTGCTGGGGACCCTCTTGGTGACCCTCTTGGTGACCCTGGGGCTGGATGGTGGCCACAGTGGCTGCAGTATGGTGGCCATGCCACAGTCCCTGCTGGTGTCCCTGGGGCTTGGGGGACGACCAGTGGCCACAGTGCAATGGCCATGCCAGGGTCCTTCCCTGGTGTCCCTGGAGCTTCATGGGTGGCCAGTGGCCACAGTGGCCACAGGGCAGAGGCCATGCTGGGGTCCCTATGTCCCTGGGGCTTAAGGGCTGGCCAGTGTCCTCAGTGTGGTGGCCAGGTGGCCACAGTGTGGTGTCCCTGCCATGGTCCCTCCCAGTGTCCCCAGGGCTCAGGGGCTGGCTGCAGGGTCAGAGGCCCTCCCAGTGTCCCTGGGGCTCTGGGGGTGGCTGTGCTGTGGTGGCCAGTGGCCACAGTATGGTGGCCGTGCTGGGTCTCCCCGCTGTCCCTGGGGCTTGAGGGGTGGCTAGTGGCTGTGGTGTGGTGGCCATGCTGGGTCCTTCCCAATGTCCCTGGGCTGGCTGGTGGCCACAGTGGCCACGGTGTGGTGGCCATGACACAGTCCCTTCCGCTGTCCCTAGGGCTTGGGGGGTGGCTGGTGGCTGCAGTGTGGTGGCCGTGCTGGGTCCCTCCCGGTGTCCCCAGGGATGACCAGTGGCCACAGTGCGACCGCCATTCCCGGCAGGACCCGGGGCTGGCACAGCCACGCGGAGCTGAGGCTGAGGCCTGGCACCGCTGCTTGGCACCATGCCAGGGGCTCCTGCCAGCACCCCCAGCCTGTGGTAATGGTGCCAGTGGGGGAATCAGGGGGCTGGAGGGCAACCCTTCCCCCCTCAAGGACAAAAACCCCCCTGGCACTGCTGTCAGAGGGGATCTGTATCCCTGCCCTGGGCAGAACTGGATCGGTGCCCAATGCCCGGGGATGGGCCCCACTGGCCGGGGGGGAGTGGGATGGATGAGCATGGGGGGCTGTACTGGGTGGGGGGATTGGTCATGGAGGGGGTGCTGTGTGTGCTGGATGGTGGGTGGGGGTCTGTGCTGGTGGAGGGGCCGTACTGGATTTGGTGGGGCCGGAAGAGCTGTGCTGTTGGGGGGTCTGTGTTGATGTTGATGTGGGGGTCTCTGCTGTACTGAGGGGTCTGGGGGGCCGTGCTGCTGGGGCTCTGTGCCGTGCCGAGGGGGCTGCGGGGCCTGTCC